TGGAATTTTTAACAGCAGCTTTTTATAAGAGTTTTTATGAGTTTTATTAGGAGAGACTTGGAAAGTGTAAGCAAGTAGGAAAGAACAGACTCTACCTCTAACCATGACCCAAAGCCAGCTGTTGCCAACATGTTTGTTATATTTATTTCCTCTCTTTTTGGTGCATAGACTTTTTTTTTAAAAGTTTTTAAACTACAAAAATAGTATAACAACCCTGGCCAGTTTGTTTCTATGGATAGAGCATCGGCCCGCAGACTGAAGGGTGGTGGGTTCGATTCCAGTCAAGGGCAAGCACCTCTGCTGCAGGCTTGATCCCCGGCCCCGGTGGGAGGCAACCAATCGATGTGTCTCTCTCACATCGATGTTTCTCTCTGCCTCTCCCCATCCCTTCCACTCCTCAGGTGGGGGGTAACTATATGAAAGAAGGTAATATAACAATATTGTTGAAATATATAAAGAAAAAAATTAAAATATGTCTCTTCACCCTCAGGCGCACGGCCACTTGTGACAGTTTGGTGTGTGTTCTTTAGGGCCTATTTCTACGTCTTGTGACAGTTTGGTGTGTGTTCTTTAGGGCCTCTTTCTACGTGTGTGTGTACGCGTGTACGTGTGTGTGTGTGTGTGTGTGTGTGTGTGTGTGTGTATACATGCCCTTATTTCATTTCACAGGATAGTGTGTGTGTGTGTTTGTGTGTGTGTATACATGCCCTCATTTCATTTCATAGGATCCCCTTGCTGCATGTAAATATTGACCTACCTCACTGCTTACTGATGAATATTTATATTGCTAAAAATGTTTTGCTCTTAAAAATAAGGTTGCACTGATTCTCTTCCATCTGTCCTTGGCCTCTTGTATGAGCACTTCTGTAGAATCGAGTCCAGAAAGTGGAGTTTCTGACCCCAGGGTTTGAGCATGTTAATTGATAGCTACGACCAAACAGCCCTTCAGAACGGCAGCACCCGGTCCTCTCCCCGCAGCGTCCGTGAGCATGCCTTTGCCCTCCCCCCTGCCAGCACCGGGTGGTTTCGCTCTCTCACTTTTGCCGATCTGATAGGGTTAAAAATAGTATCTGGTTTTGGTTTGCCGTCCTCAGGCCGCTTGTGAGGTTTGGCATCTCTCTGCACGCACAGTTTTTCGGTTTGTTTGTCTTCGGCTGTGATCACCTGTTCAAATGTGTTTTCCGTGTCTAGTGTGATAAGCATGTCCCCGTGCTCTTACATTGCCTTCAAAAATAGTCCATTTGATGTCTGTGGAACGTTGCCTCGAGTGCATGCTCTGTCGTTCACTAAACCCCTGCCCCACAGTTGCAAATTCAAGCTGCTTCCAGTTTTTTATTATTTAAATTAATGTAGCGATGAACATCTTTTGTTTGTAATTTAAACACTGTCTTAAAGTAGAATTAGTAGATTGAGGGATAGACACTCTTAAGGTGCTTGATTGACACCTATATATACTTAAAACATTTTAAAATTGCAAGAGACTCAAAAGTCATTTGGTACAATTCTCTCTCCAAATAAGGAAATGAGGCCCAGAGGGGGAAAGAGACTCCTCTGAGGACACACAGCTAGCACAGGGCAGATACTAATTTGGGTCTCTGACTCCTGCTTCAGTGTCCCTTCCCCTCCATGCCAGCTTCTAGAATTTAGCATCATCCACAAACGTTGGTTGGGCACCGTTCCTCGTGGGACACTGGTGAGCACTGACGGTGGAGAGCCTGGACCAGGAGTGGAAACACCAGACACGGAGCCCATGTGCCCTGGTGCTTCCTCAGCCGAGCCCCGTCCGCATGTGTGACCTCGCTACCTGGCGAGGCCGTCTAGTTCAGGGGTTGCCCAGCTTCTCTGGAGCTTTCCCTTGGAGGCTGCCAGTGGTGAAAAGCTGAGGGAGGGGCCATGGGGAACCCCACCCCCACTGTACCAGTTCTTCTGTCATCTGTTTGATGCCACCTAAGCTGATAATTGGGCAGAGGGGTTTGTACAACTTTTAAAATGTTTGCGCACCCGGACCCCTTTTCCCAAGAAGAAGACCGAGACCTTCTCCAGAGGCCCGTCTGGTGTCTTTGGCAGAGGGGCTGGGGCCCCAGGCCACAGCCTCTGGCCAGGTGTCCTGTGAGCAAGACCTTGAAGCCCAGTGGGAAGAGAGCTGGGAGGGGAGAGTGAGAGCTGCCATCAGATGTGTGGACATTTCCTTTGAGGAACATTTCTTCCAAATATTCCTGTGGGAGGCTGCTCGAGAACGTGTCCCTGTGTGCCAAGCACTGCGCTAGGCCCCCTGCAGGCACTGTGCCGTGGAGTCTCACTGTGGCCCTGGGAGGAGGCAGCCCGCCTCCTTTTCACAGAGGAGGCCCAGGGACAGGAAGTGGCTTATCTAAGTGCCAGGGTGGGAACTGGAACTCAGGCAGCCACCTGGCTGCCCCAGCTGTGTGCCCTGGGAGAGGTGAGCAACCTGGCTTCTCTGGTACAAGGGGTTCCTGATGAGTCCGTCGAAGAGCACCTGTCTCCAGGTCCCCTCAAGTCTCGATTTCATTATGCAGCTGGCGCCACTGCTAGGAGTGCGGCCAGGCCCCTCAGGGGGTTAGCTCAGGTTGCTGTGCGCCCGTGGGGCTTCAGTCTCCATGCCATCAGCAGGCAGAGGCCAGCACATGGTGTCCTCCACGCCGTCCTCTCAGAAACAGTTGGACAAACAGGCTCTGTCACCCCAGTTTCCCGGTACATCGTGGCCCGGGTTTCCTCCCTGCAAGGTGGCCTACCAGCAGAGTGGCCAGCATGAGAGGATGACACCCAGAGAGCAGCCACCCAGACTGTTGGTTGGCTCCAAGGTGAAGGGGGTTGGCAAGGGGATGTGGGAGTGGAAGCCAATGGGGACCAAGAACTGAATACTGTGCCCCCCACTGTGGTCAGGCATCTGCATTGCCTTTTAGTATTCCAACCACCCAGGGAGTAGTCATGTCTCCAGTTTGCCTGCATAGAAAACGAGGCTCAGAGAGGCTAAGTAACTACCGAGGGCCAGCCTAGTGTGTTACAAGTGGGGAAAAGCAAATTGGGTAGGAGTATGTGCAGAATGGTCCCACTTTCATAAATCTATGTAGGTACATAGAAAATAAAACCTAATGAATGCACGTTAGTTTCACTAGGCTACAGGGATGAGGCTACAGAGCTGTCTTCCCAAGTCATATTTCTTCAGTGTTTCAAGTTTTCACAGGGTATATGTTGCTTTTAGAATCAGGAAAGAAATTAATAGCTTTTTGTTTTGTTTTGACCATGCCCACGTTCCAGAGTCCAACATTCAAGGTTCTTGGTCTTGTTGTGTAACATGGGGTGCGTCCTTGGACTGCTTCTTGGCAGCCTTGTGGCCTTGGACAATCTGTTCGACCTTGAAGGTTCTCAGTCCCATCCATGAAACAGGGACAGCCCCGCCCTGCAAGGTCACGGAGAAGATAAGGAATAGGCTCGCTATGTGCCGGTGACGCTGCCTAGATCGTGGCTGCTCTGGGGCTGGCTCACTTCTTGACTCTGTCCCTCTCTGATAGTCCCCTGGCAACGTTCTTCCTCTCCTATGGTGGCCTCCACTCTACTTCCGACCCTGTGAGCCCACCAGCTGGGTGTGATCTTACCTGCCCCATAAAACTGGGTGCCTCTCGTCCCTGAGAAGCTAGTCTGTGGGAGTTCTGAGCATCTACTGTGTGTGTGTGTGTGTGTGTGTGTGTGTGTATCATTTTCAATAGGCACCAAAGACACTTCCAGAGAGCATATATATATAAAACACACATTTTGTTTGTTTTTTTGTTAATCCTCACTGGAGGATATTTTTTCCATTGATTTTAGAGAGTGGAAAGGAGGGGTGGAGAGAGAGAGAGAAACATTGATGTGAGAGAGAGCCACATCAATTGGTTGCCTCTCACAGGCGTCCCGACCAAATTGGAGAACCTGCAACCTCTCGGTGTGCAGGCTGATGCTCTAGCCCAGGGATGGGCAAACTTTTTGACTCGAGGGCCACAATGGGTTCTTAAACTGGACCGGAGGGCCGGAACAAAAGCATGGATGGAGTGTTTGTGTGAACTAATATAAATTCAAAGTAAACATCATTACATAAAAGGGTACGGTCTTTTTTTTTTTTTAGTTTTATTCATTTCAAATGGGCCGGATCCGGCCCGCGGGCCGTCGTTTGCCCACGGCTGCTCTAGCCACTGAGCAATGCTGGCCAGGGCCAGCGTGTATATTTTTAATACCATTTTACACGTGAAGAAATAGGCTGAGAGAGTGGCCCGCCCAAGGTCGCACAGCTGGTGCCCGAGAGCCTGTGCTCCTTCGGGGTGCTGCCCTGCTGCTCTCCACTAGCATCTGCCTAATTCATCTCACAGATGAGGAAGCTGGGGTCCAGACAAGCTGGGCACACAGAAGTCTTGAACCATTTAGGACCGAAGGAATCATCAGCTGAACAGACCATGTAGGCCTCGGGGCCACAGGGACTGGTGCTGGAGAAACACATGGGTTTACTCTGTCAGCTCCCTTCACTGATGGTCTGCTGGGGCGAGCGCTGCGCTCAGGGTCGCGGGGCTTGGTCTCCAGTGGCAGGGAAAGTGCCGAGGTTAATTAGTGCTGTTGGCCCGGGGATCCAGTGAGGAGATGACCCATGCTCGTGCTCGGTATTGGTGCCAGCGCCCGCCTGGTGGGCAGCAGGGAGAGAGGGAGGCAGGGAGGGAGGGATTCACCAGCATGGAGCGTTGCGTTGTGAGAGATGCTGGTAAACATTTGCGCTTTGGTTTTCTCATTGAGAAGGAGCAGCAGACGAGGTCGGGTCACCAAGCCCACTAGACTGTCAGAAACTAGCTGTTGGGCCTGGGCACACCACTTACCCTCTTTGAGCTTCTGCCCGCGCTGCTAGCAAATTCCCGCTGTGCTTAATCCTGCCAGGCTGTCAAGAGTCTCAAAGGCGATAATAGACATGAAAGAGCTTTGAAAAGGCCAGGAGCGCTGAACAGAAGCCAGGGATCGCTGTTACGCTCTGCTGGCCCCTGGTGCTTGTCTGTGGGCCGACACAAAGCCCTCTGTCATTTCAGCTGAATAGCATTGGCAATTACTACAAGCCCTGGTTCTTCAAGCACGTGGAGAACTACCTGAAGACAAACCGAGAGGGCCTGGAGTACATCCCCCTGAGACACTACTACCACCGGCACACGCGCAGCATCTTCTGGGAGCTCCAGGTGAGGCTCGCATTTCCCAGGTCCTGGCTCCTCCCGCCCTGCTGGGCAGGGGACCAGGGCAGTTAACACAGCGGCCACACTCTCTCCCTCGGGGGGGAAAGGCGTGGCTTTGTCCTGGGGAATCGGAACACCCTCTTCCACAGCAACACAGTCGCTTCTTTCTGAGGGATCGGACCATCTTCACTTAAAGCGACAGGCTGTCACTGAGCACCTGAGAATGGGGTGCTGGGTTGGGAGATTTGGGGAACACTGACCTGTTCCGTCGTTGAGGAGCTATAGCCTCGCCAAGCAGACAAACATCACTTTGTAAAGAGGAAGCGGCCAGTCTAGGGTTGGAGGTAGCCTAAGCCTGGCCTGGACAGGTGAGCAAGAATTTGCTGTTGTGCGAGGAGGGATGGGGAGCAGGAACATGTTAACTAAGGGCCTCGGGGAAGGCCTCTCAGATGACTTATGAGCAGGGACCTGAACGTAGGTAGGACAGGCCATGCCGAGCTCTGGGAGAGAGCGCGCCAGGCAAAGAAGTGCGAGCACAGTTCCTCAGGGGGCTGCATGGGTGTTTTTCCGTTTTGCTTTTAATTGAAGTGAAATCATATAAAATTAACCATTTAAAGTTATACAATTTAAACAAATAAAAGTAAAATTATACAATGTAGTAGCATTTAGTACATTCATGATATTGTGCAATCATCACCTCTGTCTAGTTCTAAAACATTTGATCACCCCAGAAAGAAATCTGGTACCTATTAGATGCTTCCCCCTCTGTCTAGTTCTAAAACATTTGATCACCCCAAAAAGAAATCTGGTACCTATTATTTTTTTTAATATATATATTTTATTGAGTTTTTACAGAGAGGAAAGGAGAGAGATAGAGCATTAGAAACATCGATGAGAGAGAAACATCAACCAGCTGCCTCCTGCACACTCCCCACTGGGGATGTGCCCGCAACCAAGGTACATGCCCTTGACCGGAATCGAACCTGGGACCCTTCAGTCCGCAGGCCGACGCTCTATCCACTGAGCCAAACCGGTTTCGGCTCTGGTACCTATTAGATGCTTCCGTTTCTTCTTTTCCCTAGCCTCTCCCAACCGTCAATCTGTTTTGTCCCTATAAATTACCTGTTTTAGATTATTTCATATAAGTGGAATTATACAATATGTAGCTTGTTGTGACTGGCTTCTTTCACTTAGCATGATGTTTTCAAGGTCCAGCCATGTTGTAGCATGTATCAGTACTCATTCCTTTTCGTGGCTGGCTAATACTCCATTGTGTGGGTAGACCACAGTTGGTTTATAAATTCATCTGTGGTTGGATGTTTAGATTGTTTCCACCTATTGGCATTGTGGATAATGCTGTGACCATCCATAGACAAGTATTCATTTGAATACTAGGTTTCCATGCTTTGGGGTGTATGCCTATGGGTGGAATTGCTGATTCGTAGGGTAACTTTGTGTATAACTTACTGCGGAACTGCCAAACTTTTCTCCACGGTGGCTGAGCCACTTCACACTCCCAGCAGCCGTGTTCACTTTCTCTGCCTTGTCACCACACTTGTTATTTTCTGGGTTTTGATTATAGCCATCCATCCTAGTGGGTGTGAAATGGAATCTCATTGTAATTTTGATTTGCACTTTCCTACTGACAGGTGATGTTTCACATTCTTATTGGCCATTTACTTGCATATTCTTTTGGAGAAGTGTCTATTCAGTTTCTTTACCCATTTTTAATTGCATTATCTTTGTTGCTGAGTTGTAAGAGTTTGTATATTCTGAAGGAAGGGAGAAGGATAGAGAGATAGAAACATCACTGAGAGGTCTAACTGGTTTGGCTCAGCGGATAGAGCGGACTGAAAGGTCCCAGGTTCGATTCCGGTCAAGGGCATGTACCTTGGTTGAGGGCACATCCCCAGTAGGAGGTGTGCGGGAGGCAGCTGATCGATGTTTCTCTCCCATCAATGTTTCTAACTCTCTATCCCTCTCCCTTCCTCTCTGTAAAAAATCAGTAAAATATATTTTTTAAAGAAACATCACTGAGAGAGAAACATCATCGATTGGCTGCCTCCTGCACACACCACACTTGGGATCGAGCCCACAAACTGGGCATGTGCCCTGACCGTTAATCGAACCAGGACCTCCTGGTTTAGCCACACTGGCTGGGCAAAGTTCAGTTTTTATATGGTGAAAGATATACGGTTATCCAGTTGTCATAGCGGGTTGCATGCTTTTAAAAAACAGCACGAAAGCCCCTGAGCTAGAACCCTGGTGGAAAATGAGGTCACACAGCAGCCAGAGCCTAGATCATGCGTGTCTTTATAGATCAAGGAGGGACTTTATATTTTACTACAAGTATGATAGGAAACTGGCGGAGGGTTTTGCACAGAAAAGTGCTTTGACCTGATTGTTGTTTTAAAAGAATAACTTTGACAACTAGATGGAGGGTAGATGGGGGGTGGGGAGGGTGACAAGAGTGGAAGAGTAGAAGAAAGATTTCTGTTGTCCGGGGTGGTACAGGGGAGGAGGAAAAATATGTCAGATAGGGGAGTCCGTGAAGGTGGGGCTAACCCCTTCCAGACATATTGGCCCTGAGTATGATTCCAAGGTTAGAGGCCCAAGTCGCTGGGAGGCTGGAGATGCCATTGACTGCCATGGGCAACACGGGGAGAGGTCTGGGAAGGGAAATGGGCAGAGTGGTCTGGGGATGTCAGTTTGAGATCCTTTCAGACATCTAGGTAGGGCAGTGAGTGGGCAGCTGGCTCCACATCAGGACTCCAGGGCGGAGTTGAGGTGGCACATACCAGTGTGGAAGTGATCAGCATTCCGGGTGATCCCTGCATTCCCCTCACACCTGGGCCATGCCTGGCTGGTCCAGTTCCTTCCTCTCACCCAGAGAGTCAGTCAGCAATATTTGGGGTCAGGGCTAACTAGCTGCATAATTTTCAGGACTCTGTAGAAAGCAGGAAAAAGTGCCATCAAAGGTTTTAAATTATGTTTCTTCCTTTTTTCCATGGTCTCTCTCTTATCATAAATACTAGAGGCCCGGTGCATGAAATTCATGCACGCGGGGGGGCGGGGGGTGTGGCCTCAGCCTGGCCTGTGCCCTCTCACGGTCCAGGAGCCCTCGGGGGAATGTCCAACTGCCGGCTTAGGTCCGCTCCCTGTGGGCGTAAGCCATCAGTCGGACACCCTTAGGGCTGCTTCAGTGGTGCCACCGCCACTGCGCTCGCCAGCTGTGAGCCCGGCTTCTGGCACACTGACCGCCAGGGGGCAGCTCCTGCATTGAGCATCGGCCCCCTGGTGGTCAGTGTGTGTCATAGTGCCCCAGTCGTTTCCGTGTGCGCGAGCCCCGTACCTCTGGGCTTCTCTCCTGCAGCTTCTCTGGGTCTCAGTGTGCCTTTCCTTCCTTCTAGCTGTAGAATTTACAGTGAGCCAGGCTTCCTGTTGTTCTGGATGAAGTCCGTATTGTTTCTCTGAGGTATTAATCAATTGTTGTAAGCGGCATTAATTTCCCGGTGTTTATCTCTGCCGCCATCTTAGTTTCTCTCCAATCATTTCTCGATGTTTCACATTCTTATTGGCCATTTACTTGCATATTCTTTTGGAGAAGTGTCTATTCAGTTTCTTTACCCATTTTTAATTGCATTATCTTTGTTGCTGAGTTGTAAGAGTTTGTATATTCTGAATACTAGACCCTTACTATACCAGATCGATGACTTACAAATATTTTCTCCCGTTCTACAGGTTGACTTCTCGCTTTCTTGATAATATCTTTTAATGCACAAAAGTTTTTAGTTTTGATGAAGTCCAGTGTATCTATTTTTTATAACTTGTGCTTTTAGTGTCATATCTCAAAATCCATTGCCAAATACAAGGTTATGAAGATTTGTCCCTATGTGTTCTTCTAAGAGCTTATAGCTTTAGCTCTGATATTTAGGTTATTGATTTATTTTAAGTTTTTTATTTTTTTATATTTATTTTTAAATATATTTTTATTGATTTCAGAGAGGAAGGGAGAAGGATAGAGAGATAGAAACATCACTGAGAGGTCGAACTGGTTTGGCTCAGCGGATAGAGCAGACTGAAAGGTCCCAGGTTCGATTCCGGTCAAGGGCATGTACCTTGGTT